TGGAATCAAAAAGCACGAGTGAGACTGAACAAATCAACCAACACAGAAGAATTTGAAATTTTAAGAGGGTGCGACAGGGTGTATTTTGTCTCCTATGCTCTTCAATCTCTATGTAGAGAACATTTTTGCAGAGGCACTGGAAGACTCTGAGTGTGGAATAAAGGTAAACGAGTTCCCGATAAATAACATTCGTTACGTCGAGGACACCGCGATAATAACAGACAACGAACATGATATACAGTTGATGTTAAATAAAATAAACACCGTAGGAAAAATATATGGCTTGAAGATAAATGCTGGAAAAACTAAATGCATGGCAATAAGAAAAAACGCACTTTTAAGAATACAACTGCAAGTAGATAATGCTCCAATCGATCAAGTGAAAACATTTAAATACTTGGAAATGATGATGAATGACCAATGGGATCCTCAACAAGAAATAAATAAAATGCGAACCGTACAAGCAAGACAAGCTTTTATCAAATTTAAACCGCTACTATGTAACCGCAATCTTTCCTTCAATCTCCGCTACAGAATGGTTGGTGAGAAATGAAGTCTTAAGAAAGACAAATACTGAGAGAGAACTACTCAATTTGATCGGTATGAAAAAGTACGAAAAATTGGATACCTAGGCTATATTCTCAGAGGAAAAAAATACGCAATCCCTCAACTAATCATTTAGGGAAAGATTGAAAGCAAGAGAGGAGTAGGTCGCAAACAAATGTCGTGGCTACGGAACATAAAGAACTAGAAGAGCATACATAACACTGGTGATCTTTTGCATGCCGCAAAAGACAGACTTCTGTACTTAAGATAATTCGCCAACGCACTATACGTGCACGGCACTATAAGAAGAAGGTGAATTTGCAGCAATTTTGACTCAGTTTTTGGCTTAGGTGCCTTTGACTGTTTCGTAGCTTACTTTCTATCTGACTTCATCGCTTTGTTTAGTGTTTTGGGTGCCGATTTTTTTCGTCGATTTTTTCAGTCTTTGATATAACTTGTTTGGCCTTTGTCACTTCCTTTACCTGTTTTTCCGTTTCGTCAGTGGATGCAACTTTGCGAAGTTTTATAAAGCATACACTTTATATTTGATTAAATATAAAAAAAAGTTAGGAAAACTTAAGTTATCTCATTGAATGAAAATTTAGCGTATGTGTAATATAACGAAATAACGAAATATACATATCAAAAAGGCTTTAGCACAGTTCTTTGATATTAATAGTAAGAGAAAGGCATATAGATAATATCAAAAGATAGCGTCAAGAAACCGTTAGAATGTCAGGATTAATGATAAGAGGACCCTATCCCTTACTGGTTTATTTGTGATTCATATTTCATCTGAATGTCGCAGAATACGCAAAAAATGTGAGAAAGCCGCAATGAAAAAACCTCCAAAACTTTTCTTTTGTTTAGATATTTTTGGACACTCTGTAGGTATACCTAACGGCTTTCATGTGACCAAACCGAGATGTTTTTGATTCAATTGACTTATTTTGATACATTCTTATTCTATTTTTAGAAAATGTTTATCTTTTCGCTAAAGTTCAATGTTTTATATAATCTTAGTGCATTGTATTATTCAAAATGCAAAAGAAAATGTTATTTACATACCTGAATTCTTTTGTTAAGTACAAATTCTTACTTAAACACAATGATTTGTCAAATACAATTATTTAATCGAACGTCCTAGTTTTAAAATTTACACAACACATAGCATTACGCATAAGTACGTATCCCCAAAGGCACTTTACATTTAAAACAAATTCGGAAAGTGAAACCAAACAGTAGATACACAGTCGTGACACAAAACATATGATGATTGTTTTGAAACAGTATCACAAATGTGCCAGTTAACTTTTTAATCGGTAGAATTTTAATGTTTCGCGTTCAACAACGGAGACAGATATACTCGTTTCATAAATCGGTAAGGAGCGCGAACACGCTGAAAATTCATAAAAGAGTTAAGTCCCAGCGTGAGTAAAGAGTTCCAATGGTATGCAACCAGTCATACACAGAGTAGCTTTATATTATAATGGCTAAATTATGATTAACGATTATCAATGGGTCAATGCGAAAGGGATCATGGGTTTCTTCTAGATTCCTTTCGCGTCAATACTTTATTATTTCATGGACTATACGAAAAAAAAAAATGTTCAATGTGTCATTATTCAAAATAATTAATCTGTATTTGTCGCATAATTTTGTCCGCTGTTTTTTTCGGAAGTGTTATGTTACCTGTTATGTTACGTAATTTTATCGAACTTCTTAAACAATACTATATCTCACCATCAGAAATTCTAGTAAGTTTTGATATCGTTTCATTCTTTACAAACATTCCTATAGACGAAACCCCAAACGTTCTGAAAACTAAATACAGTATCCAGCAAGAACACTTATCTCCTATTAAAGATATGTCCAACACTGATTTCATCTTCCAAAATCAATTCTACAGACAAATAAATGGTGCCCCAATGGGCTCCCCACTATCTCCAGTAATTGCCAATACCTTTATGGAAGACATCGAGACCCGACTACTATTTACATCAATGTTTGCATATCCCACATGTTGGCTACGATATGTTAATGATACATTCGTCAGTTGGCCTCATGGCAGGACGGTTTGGTGTCCTCCAGACCCATCTGAATGGTATGCATCCTAGTATCCAGTTCACGATGAAGGTGGAAACTGATTCATTCCTATCGTTCTCAACGTTATCGTATAGAAAAACCAATCTCAAGGTTTTCATCACTCCATTTATCGAAAACCCACCCATACCAATCGTTACTTGCATGCCAACTTTCATGCCTCATAAAAGACTTAGACCCTCATCATACGAAAGCTTTTCTTCCTTATATCAAAGGCGTCACTGACAAAATCGACAAAATTCTTAAATCAAGAGGAATAAAGACAATATTTCCACCCCCCCCAACAAAATCTTTATCTCTTGTCCGATCAATCAAAAACAACATTCAAAATAAACAATACGGAGTTTATGAAATTCCTTATGCAGACTGCCCCCGATTCTATATAGGCCAAACAAATCGTAGAATCCAAAATAGGATTTATGAACATTCCATTTCTGTTCGCAATTCCTATTCAATTTTAGCTGTAGATCCAATTTTGAAACACCAGAACCATAGTCCCATCTGCATCTATAAACCAAGAATTATCCGAAAAACCATAGAAATAAAAAAAGGCTATATTGTCTAAATAAAAGAGATGACGGCATTCGGTTACCTTCGACATGGAGACCTTTGATAAAGAAAATATGGTCCGCTCCACATGCTAATCAAAATCCTACTGTCAGAAATGTTCGCGCCAATCCCTGCGTCAACCCCCAATCACCACGCTAACCTCCATCCAAACCACCACCATCGACGGTATAAATAAAACGTCCTCTGTTCCCAGTAGCAGAAATGCATTGGTTAGTGATCAGTATAGTAGTGTCTGTGGCTCGGGAGAATGAACCTTGAATTCCCTAAAGAAGACATCAAAGAGGATGTCGAAATCTCGGTGCAATGATAATCGACGCGGTTCAACCCGGAAGACGGTTGAGTTTAATATTAGTTCTTCTAATAGTAATAATAACTTTGGTTTTTAACGAGAACCATTATTTTGAGACGTTTCGACAAGGACAGTGCCATTGTTATGAAACGTGTCTAAAAGCTCATAGTTTTATCTTTTCCAGCTTTCGTTTATTTAATTAAATTTTTGAAAATTATTCAGTACATAACTTAAATTTTTGTAAAATCAAGAAATCATTTTGTTTACCGTTGGATCAGATAAAGTTCTGTCCCTTTACAGTGTGTGTGTAAATGTTTGCAAATATTCAAAAAAGACACATAATCCATTTAAAGAATTTACCGCATGAGTACTACCTATCATAAAATGCCATTACGGTCTTCTTACTTCTATATTATCCATTCAAAGTTTTTTTTTTCTTTATCTTTGTATCTTTTAATTCTTTGCATATTTGACTTTATATATTGGCTACCTAATTAAAGTCTTAGTTAGTCCCAGGTTTGCTCTTACTGGGAATCCAAATTTATCCCATGTTATGCCCTGATTGGGAATTCATTTTCATTGCGATTGGGAGTCCTACCGCATCTAAGTATGAAACCCTTTGTTATTGAAGATTCGGCCAGTTCCGACTTCAACATCAAGTTGATCTGATTAACAACTTTATACAATAGATTTTGAGTATTTTCCCCTCTATTCTCGGCCGATTTAAGTGATGTTACTTTGGAGTTAACAAAGTTACATAATAACACAAGAGACTGAACGGAGTTATGTGATAAAATTTAATATTTAAAATCTTTTGGTATGTATTATTATAGTTCATATTACATTATTCTTTATTAACTATTTAATGATAATTATAATTCTTGTAAAGTCTCTATTTTAAACATGTTTAAATTGAAATAGATTAACTAGAAGGTAAATTTTTTGTTTCTTTTGCTTATTTAAATTTCTGATTTAATCGCATGTTTTTATTTTATTTTCAACATGTTAATTCATTACAATCAGGACTTCGAGCTTAGATATGATATTTAATTAATCTGTTTGATTAATTTCTTCGATGACTTTTTGATATTTATGATATTTGATATTATAATATATTTTAATACAGTGAATTTTGTCATCTATTATTTTAATGATATTCGCAATTTTTCTTTTTGTTTTGTAAATATCCCATTTCGATTTTTTTATGATTCAAAGATTTTAAAACATTTGCGCATTTTTTTAAAGAGTTGTTCTTTTTCCTATTTCCTTTTGCCTTTTGTTGTTTTGTAACTATTTTTTCTTGTGTTTGTTACTTCTATAAACGACCCCGCCCATATTCGACCAGGACTAAGCAACGGTTTGAGTAAGGTGTATCAGTGTTTTCAGTTTGATTCTTCATAATCTAGTTCACGTGTATATAATCGAATTTTCAATCGAAGCAGTTTTATTCAATAAACTGTTTGATTTATCATAACAATTAGGTTTTTTCTTTAACCAACGTTATATTTATTTATTATATAATAAATAACTACATAACAATAATAATTATATATTAAATAACATTTTTCTAATTTATTAAAACAACAATACTTATTTAACAAACAGTAATCCAGAACCGCGCGATTCTTTCCTCTTCAAAAACTGGAAATTCGTCTGCTTCGAAGCCTCTAGCCTTAACAAATTATTAGGAATATACGCAGTAACGATTGTGCCCAAAAGAAGCAGAACCATTTGGGTACTTAATGTCCAAAACGCCCTAAAATATTGATTGAGATATCCAACTGCCACCGTAACTACTACTCCCAGAATTTGAGTACTAGCAAGCAGTATACCGGAAGTTGTACATTCTTCGGACGGGAACGTCAGTTCTATAGCCAATTCAAAGCCAACTGGCATGTAAGCATTGGTGAATATCCTAAAATAAAAACAGATTAAATACTTAAATATACTTATAAAATGCAACTTCACATGCGCACCAAACAAAAAAACCAAGTTAGTAATTTGTCTTGAAGTTAATGTTGTGTTAATTTTTAATTGTTTTATTTTTCCTTTTTTCGATGTTTACTAAGACAATGACTTTTGTTGTTAATCCTTGTCATTTATTGTTGTTGTACTTTCTTCTCAACGTAGTAATCGCAGAATGCTTTTCAAAATGTTTCAATGCAATACACAAGAATTTTTCATTAATATGTAACATTGCTTCAGTTTAAATTCAAATAGGCAATCAGCTAATTAAAAACACCGATCCAACGCGATCAAACCCATAAACATAGTTATGTTAGTCACACAAATATAAACTGATCTCTTGTTGGGTTTTCTTTAAGCCAATCTTATATTTATTTGTTATTTATTAAAACAAATTCTTATAAATATATTAAACCAGTAACGTTTGTCATTTAACGAATTTATAATAACATAGAACCCTGTGACCCTCTCCTCTCCATATACTGCAAATTCGTCCCTTTTGCAGCTTCCAGCCTCAACATATTATTAGGGGTATAAGCAGTTACGATGGTTCCCAAAAGAAGCAGCACAACTTGAGAACTTAACGCCCAAAATGCTCTAAAATATTGATTGAGATATCCAACGGCGACGGTGACTACTACACCCAGAAATTGGGTACTAGCTAGCAGACCGGCCGACGTGCTTTCTTCAGACGGAAACGCCAGTTCCATGGCTAATTCAAAACCAGTTCCATGGAAACGCCAGTTCCATGGCTAATTCAAAACCAACTGGCTGGTACGCGTTCGTAAATAAAAATTTTCTCATAAAATGTAACTTTGAAAAAAGTCTAAAAACCGCATTCCTATCAAACTTCTTAGACTTACTTATCCGTGGATTTACTCAGCATATTCTGTTTACCGTTTACCACATCCTAATCGCCATTTTTTCTTGTTGTATCTATATTCTCCAGTGATATCTTCTTTTTCCATTGCTGGTTATATTTGTCCGTTCCACTGTAATTCACGACGTCTTTTTTCTACTTCTATTTGGTTTCCATTTCCAAGTTCTCAGCGGTATTCTTGTCTTATTCATTCTTCGCATATGTCTATACCAGAGTAATTTTCGTTTTTTTATTTCGTAATTTAGTGTCTCCTTCATATTCATTACTTCTATACTTCATTACTTCTCTAATTCGTCAATTTCTCATTTTTGTCCATTAGCATTAATCTCAAAACATCATTTTCATTGCATTTGCAATTTTGCATTGCATTGCGTTTATTTATCACCCACGTCTCTAGATAATATAGTGAGCAGCTTTCTATTATTGTCTTAAAAATTTGGTTTTAGTTTTGCTTGTAATATAAACGAGTGTAATTTTCGTGTTATTGTCTTTACTTTCTTTATTTTATTTATTATATCCGTTTCATCTGATTTTGTATTTGTTAAAGTTATTCGCAAATATTTATATTGTTTGTTTTATTGACATGTTATTTATCTCCAGGTATTTTGTAGTGGTTCCAATGACCACGTAATTCATTATTTTAATCCAAACCCTGGAAATCTATCTATCAAATCCCTAAAGAGTTACCTGTAATACATATTTTATTGATTCTTTTTTTTTATTATGTTTTTATTATTTATTATGTTATATTACACTGCTCAATTACAAGGCTCAAACAACCGATATAAAGCCTCGGAATCAAAGGAACCTAAGATGACGAACCACGCAAAGAAAAGGAAAACGAGAAGGAAAAATAAGCCCACAATCAGATGAGCAACATGGAACATTACTTCTTTCAACAACAAAGACCAAGAGATAATAGAAGAACTAAAGTAAGTAAAAAAGCAAGACATGCAATCAAAGAAACCAAGAAAAAAGGTAAAAGCCAAAAAGACTATAACCAATATATTCTAGCATACAATGGAGTAAAGAAAAAAGAACAAGCACGAGTAGGCGTAGGTAAACTTGTTTATAAAAAAGTTAAAGACAACATAAATAACTGCCGTTATATCTCCTAAAGAATAATACATATGAACATCACCATGGACTACCAAAAATTAAATGTCATATCTATCTATAGCCCCGAGGACTGCAAACCTAAGGAGGAACGAGAGGCGTTCTACGAACAATTGCAAACCATCCTGGATGAAATACCTCATGACGAACCCTTAATTCTTATGGGTAACTTTCATCATCATCATCAGTGGTGCTACAGCTCTAGTTGAGCCTTGACCTTCCCCAGTCTATTTCGCCAGTCGTTTCTGTTCATCGCCAACCGTTGCCAATTAGCCGCGCCGATTTTCCTTGCGTCCTCGTCCACACCGTCCCTCCATCTCAGTCGTGGTCTGCCTCTACTCCTATTTCCCACTGGGACCGATAATAGAGTTCGTCTGGGTGGGTAATTCTCATTTGCTCTTGACACATGTCCAGCCCATCTAAGCCTGCCTATTTTTATGAAGGATATTACATCTCTACCATTTACTATTTTTTTATATTTCTCGTACAATTCGAAATTATATCGCCTTCTCCAAATACCATTCTCACAGAATGCGCCCATTATTCTTCTTAGTATCTTTCTTTCGAAGACGAGCAGAAGATTTGCGTCTGTTTTGGAGATGGTCCATGTTTCTGACCCATATGTCAGCACTGGTAGGATGAGTGTTCGATATATTATTAGTTTGGTTTTCTGGCTTAAGTTTCTGTTTTTTAGCTGCTTGCTTAGTCCAAAATAACATTTGTTTGCTAGCAGTACCCTCCGTTTAACTTCTTCAGATGTGTCATTATCGTTTGTTATGAGAGAACCCAAATATGTAAACTTATTTACTACCTCAAAATTATATTGGTCTATACTGAAGTTTTGTTCGGCGTTTCTAGCTCTATCTCTGTTATTTGTAATAGATGCTAGCATTTTGGTTTTTTCCTCGTTTATTTTAAGGCCCATATTTTGTGCGGCTGTCAAGAAGGTGGAAGTCATCTCTTTAAGTCCTCGTGTAGTACGTGCAATCAAATCCAAATCGTCAGCGTACGCCATAATCTGCGTTGATTTATTAAAGATTGTTCCCCTATTGTGTAACTCGGCATCTCTTATAGTCTTTTCTAACGCTATATTAAAGAGAAGGCACGCCAGCGCGTCTCCCTGCCGTAACCCTGCATATGTTTCAAACGCTTGTGACATATCGCCTTGTATTTGCACTCTGCAGATCACTTTACTCATAGTTGTTTTTACGAGCCTTATTAATTTATGGGGAATGTTAAGTTCATTCATGGCTTCGTATAGTTTACCTCTTAGGACGCTATCATACGCTGACTTAAAGTCCACAAAGAGATGGAACGTGTCAATATTAAATTCATTGGTTTTTTCTAAGATTTGACGTAGCACAAAAATCTGGTCAATTGTTGACCTACCTGGCCTAAAACCGCTTTGATACTCACCAAGGATTTCTTCCACGTACGTACTTAAACGGCTGTACAGGGTGTTGGAGAATATTTTGTACATTGTATTCAGAAGAGTTATACCCCTATAATTTTTACATTCCAACAAATCTCCCTTTTTGTGTAGTGGACATATGATTCCAGTGCACCATTCCTCTGGCATTTGTTCTTCTTCCCAGACTTTGACTATTATGTTGTGAATTTGGTGCATAATGCTGTTACCTCCATGTTTGATGAGCTCTGCGGGGATACAATCCACTCCTGGGGACTTGCCATTTTGGGTATTAAAGTTATGGGTAACTTTAATACACAAAAAAAAAAATGAAATTGTTCCAGGAGTAAAACAAAGATTTAATGAAAACCATTTCAAGAATCCATGGCTCATCTCTGTGCTTTTAACGAACTGAGAATTAATAATCCATTTTTTACGATTTTGTCAAACTCCACCCAAAGCAGATTACAGATATTCGAACTTTAAACTCAGCAGATGCAGGGAATGAACACATTTCTACAGGAAATCACCGAGGAAAAATTTAATATAGAATCCCTGTGAAACGACTCTACAAGAGAAATGTACCAAAGGAGGCTAGCACAGAAGATACAGCTGAAACAAATAGACGACATCGAAGATATAAACGCGAGCTGGGAGAAAATTAAAACAACATTGAAAGAAGCAGCAACAGAAGCTGTAGGAAAACGCAAAGTCATACTGAACAAAAGAAACAACAACAATACACCATGGTTCAGAAAAGAAATAAAAGAGAAATGTAAAGAGAAACGAGAGGCCTACACGAAGTACAAAACATCAAATACTCCAGAATCCGAGACACTATAGAAGAATACGAAATGAAACAAAGCAGTTGGTAAGAAGAACAAAAAATGAACACTGGGAACAGTTTACAAAAAGGATGGAAAGCGACTTCTACGGTACACAAAAACAAATATGGAGATTCATAAGAAACCAACGGAAAGAAATGGCAGAATTGAAGGAATACAATAACATACCAGCAAACGAATGGGAAAGATACCTGACGGAACTGTTTAAAGGAAAGGAAAATAATAATCAACACAATAACGTACCTGAATTAAGACACGAAATAGAAATCAGTTTTCAGGAAGTAGAAATAGCCATAAATTCACTCAAAAATAGAAAGTCACCAGGACCAGACGGAATAACCAACGAGCTTCTAAAACACGGAGGAGAAAGTATAACCCTAGAGATGACAAAACTTATACAAAAACTAATATTGCACTGCAAGATACCAGACGCATGGAGAAACAGCATAATGATACCAATGTTCAAGAAAGGAGATAAAGAAGACCCCAACAATTATAGAGGTATAAATCTACTGAACACCGCACTTAAGCTTACCACAAAAGTCCTAACCAACAAAATCAATAAACTAACAACTTTATCAGATGAACAACAAGGATTCAGATCCGGAAGATCCTGCGTAGACGCCGTATTTGTACTAAGACAAATCACAGAAAAGGCCATCGAGTACAATAAACCAGCATATCTATGTTTTATAGACCTG